AACCAGTAAAATCCCATTTGTAGCTGTTCGTTTGAAGCCATCTCTCAAAGCTGAGTGAATTCATGGATGGCATGCCCATTCATTAAAAGGCATGTGGCTCATTTATGGACCCGCATGGTTCTCTAATGGTTTTTCTTTCACTGTTGTTTGAAGCTGCTCGGTCGTCTTTAGAAAATATGCACAGAGCGTGTCGTTGCATCCACAGTGTAGCTGGAGGCTGCTTTGTATAGTTGCCCGAACATCAGAATCCATTTTCTAGTTCCCAGCCATCAGTAGATTCTTAGCTGTTCTTTTCATTTTTTCAACAAATGAGACTAAGGCTCGATTTAATGTCCAGTTTCTGATTTCTTCTAAGAGAGCTTGAATTCTAAGATGTATTTGTCACTGAGAAAATAATCTTACTTTCTTACCAAGTTTTTCATGGCCCAAGGGTTACTCATGAACATTTTGGCGAGTTTTACAAGTGATACTTTGTACAATGTCAAAAAACGATGACTGGAAAAAACACACAACAAACCCATGACTTGGGAGAAATGACTACAACTCAGATTTCGGTTTCACCTTTTCACCTACAGGCAAGCATGTGAAAGCAATAAAACTCGAGAAAGCCGGTGTCTCTGGAGAGCTGTGGTAATGTGCAAGCAGTATATGAATTTCATCTTCTGCTGATTTTCTCCTGTTAGTTAACCCCAGGCAGAATTCTGCATAAATCAAAAGTGATTGATTTTGCCCAACACATATGATATGGGTCTGACCACCTGTGCAGGGGGCCCTGGGCTCTTTCACCAAAGTTTCTACTTAGACTTTTGGGAAAATATCATATTTCAATAAGTTTCCATTTGTTTTTGTGATATTTCACATCTAAGAGTTTTAGTAATCTTGTTAGAGCTTATCAAGTTCACCATGGCTATAAGGCGGCTGGCTTGAGTTTTGTCAAATCTTTGCTATTTCTTAGTGCTTGAAATCCTTCCATAACTCTCCGGAGCTTTCAGGATGGACAGCCTGTTTCACGTGGACACAGGTCTTTTCTTTCTGGCCCCTGCTAATCTCCCTGCCCCTTCTCCATCCTACTATTTATTCTCTCTGCTTCCTCTCCCACTTCCCTAGTCCAAACACATACTACTTTCTATTCTTAAGTCTATAGACCACCAACTTGTGTTCTTAGTGGCTCCATCCTTGACACATGTTTTGTCCTCTGCCTGAAACACTTTCCCCAGTAAACAGACTCCTCCCTTGTACCTGGGTAAGTTCCACCAGTCACCAGAATTCACGTCAGGACCTATTTCCTCTAGAAAACCCCTTAATGCAGGCATTCCTGGGGTCCGGGGACCCAAGGGTCTGCCAACCACTGTGGGTTCTTGGCTTCATGCAAGAAAGAATTCCAATACAAGCTAGAATCGAATTTAAAGTGAAAGAGAGTTTATTAGTGAAGCAGTGAGAGTGGCTACTCCATATACAGAGCATCCCCTCCCTAGTGGGATTTACTTCTTTCGTTGAAGTTCATTTAATCGGGTGGTAGGGCATTCAATAAGGGGGGAGAGGAATATTCAGGATCTTTCTGGGAAAGGGGTGGAGATTTCTGGTAAGAACCCCAGCAACCACGTTGTGTCCTTATATAGGCTTCAGGCGGCTGCAGGGTGTGTCGGATAGCATGCTAATGTATTACAATGGGATATAAGGAGGTTAGGGGTCACCATAAGGGACAAAAAAAAAGACACCGAATAGCTGCAGCAATCTTGAGAAGGAAGAGCAAAATAGGAGAGATCACAACACCAGATATCAAGCTATACCACAAAGCCACTGTAATCAGAACAGCCTGGTACTGGCACAAGAACTGGCATATAGATCAATGGAACAGAACAGAAATCTACCCAAGCCATTATGCTCAGTTAATATTTGGCAAAGGAGGCAAGAGCATACAATGGAATCAAGACAATCTCTTCAATAAATGGTGCTGGGAAAATTGGACAGGTACATGCAAAAAAAAAAAATTGAATCTAAACCACCAACTTACACCATACACGAGAATAAACTCAAAATGGATAAAAGATTTAAATGTATGTCATGAAACCATAAAAACCCTAGAAGAAACCGTAGGCAGCAAAATCTCAGACATCTCTCATAGCAACATGTTTTCTGATAACATCTCCTAGGGCGGAGGAAACGAAGGAGAAAATAAACAAATGGGACTACATCAAAGTAAAAAGCTTCTGCACAGCAAAAGAAATATCAACAAAATGAAAAGGGAGCCCACTGTATGGGAGAACATATTTGGCAATGATACATCTGATAAAGTGTTAATATCCAGAATATATAAGGAACTCATACAACTTAACAAAAGGAAGACAAACAATTCAATTTAAAAATGGGCAAAGGACCTAAATAGATACTTCTCCAAAGTGGACATATAGATGGCTAAGAGACACTATGGAAAACAGTATGGAGTTTCCTCAAAAAATTAAAAATGGGCCCACCCAGCTTGGCTAAATGGTTGAACATCGACCTATGAACCAGGAGGTCACGGTTCAATTCCCAGTTAGGGGACATGCCTGGGTTGTGGGCTCAATCCCAAGTAGGGGGCATGCAGGAGGCAGCCGATCATCTAAAGACATTTTCAGCTGACACTACTGGAGGGGTTGGTGCTGCTGGTGTCTGTAGGTAGAGACCAGGGATGCTGCTAAGTATCCTACAATGCACAGGACAGCCTCCAACAACAAAGATTTATTTGGCTCAAAATATTGCTCATGTAGAGGTTGGAAAACCCCATTCAGAGGTTGAGCATGACTTACAAATCCCCAAAATTAATTCCATTAGAGGATGAAAAAATTGTCCCTTCAAGAAAAAGTAGCCCGGCCGGCATGGTTCAGTGGTTGAGCATCAACCTATGAACCCAGAGGTCACTGTTCAACTCCCAATCAGGGCACATTGCTGGGTTATGGGCTCAATCCCCAGTGTGGGGCATGCAGGAGGCAGCTGATCAATGATTCTCTCTCATCATTGATGTTTCTCTCTCTCTCTCTCTCATCAATGATTCTCTTTTATCATTGATGTTTCTATCTCTCCCTCTCCCTTCCTCTCTAAAATCAATAAAAATATATGTTTTTTAAAAAAGAAAAAGTAAAGAATAAATTCATCCTTGATTTGGTGTTCTCAGCTAATGAAATGTCACACACTATCTCTTTGTAGCTCTTAACTGAACACCAAGTTGGTGGGAGGCAGACCACGAGGGAAAACAGCAAGGTTATTTAACTTCCCGACCTTGACTCAGATGTTATTAACTTGCATAAAATCCAGCCCTGCAGCAGAAAGCACATGGTAAAATGTACATTCCTTGTCTGTTAAACAGCCCAGGAAACATTTTACAGTGAACTTAATATGCGTGTGGAAGCAACCCCAGCCCTCCATAAAATGTACAACTCAAGTCTTCTTCCAGGATCTGCTAGCAACCCTCTCCCATCCTAGGCCAGTGAGTAGGTAAACTTGCAGCAAGCTTCATCCGTGGCCCAGAATCCTTAGGGGCACTTGGTGACAGGGGTCACTTGGTCAGGAATCGGCAAACTACAGCCTGCAAGCCAAGGCTGGTGGGCATCTGTTTTTATGTGGCTTGTGGCTAAAGCTAAATCAAAAAAGTGTACTGCTGCCCAGCTGGCATGGCTCAGTGGTTGAGCGTTGACCTATGAACCAGGAGGTCATGGTTTAATTCCAAGTCAGGGCACATGTCTGGGTTGTGGGCTCGATCCCCAGTAGGGGGCATGCAGCAGGTGGCCGATCCATGATTCTCTCTCATCATCGATGTTTCCATCTCTCTCTCCCTCTCCGTCTCTGAAATATATACTTTGTGTGTGTGTGTGTGTGTGTGTGTGTGTGTGTGTGTGTGTGTGTGTATAAAGCATAATATGCTAATTAGACCAAACATCCTTCAAAGACAACCTTCTGGATGAAGCCAGGGCTGCGAGGGAAGCCCAGGTCCTGGTGCCTGCCGGGAGCTGGAGGAAAGCCTGGGTCCCAGGTGCCAGAGGGAAGCCAGTGCCAGCAGCCGGGGAAAGGAAGGCCTACTCTTGCATGAATTTCGTGCATCAGGTCTCTAGTATATAATAAAAGGGTAATATGGCAATTAGACCGGACGTCATTCCAGACACCCTTCCTGACAAAGCCGGGCCAGAGGGAAGCCAGCCTGCGTCCTGAGTGCCTGCAGGCGGTCCGAGGGAAGCCAACCAGAGGAGGGAAGCCTGGGTCCCAGGTGCCAGAGGGAAGCTGGTGCTGGCAGCCGGGAGAAGGAAGAAGGAAGGCCTACTCTTGCACAAATTTTCGTGCGTTGGGCCTCTAATATATATATGTATATATATATATTTTTTTAAAGAGTTTAGCAAATTGTGTTTCCAGGAGGCGAAGAGGAAGGAGAAGGCAGCTGGGCTGTCATCCCTGACACTGCTCTGCTGGGGCGGGGCCTCTTCTCCACTGGGCTGGAGTTTCCTCATCTATAACATGGGAGGGCTTGGCTGAGGGTTCTCTAGAGCCTTCCAGCACTTACTGGCCTATAGTGTATGCAACTTCCAGTTTCCTCAAGCGGCCCCAGGTGGCCAGTGGGGTAAAAGTGCAGTGCTCTTGTCTGGGACAGAGCCCAAGGGCCGGGGAGTCACATTGCCACCCTCGGCTCGGAAACAGACACACACCCGGGTAGCCGCTGTGTCTGTGCCAAGCAGACTTAAGAATCAGTGCCCTGTGAGGTTCAGGAACATAGACTTTTGGCCACTTTCGTGTGCCCTAGTTTTCTAGATTATGTAACCCGATTCTTTTAACCCTGGGGAAGAAGGAAATGGATGACAGTAATTACTGGGGAAGGCTGGCAAGGGATGGTAGCACAGACTGGCCACCCAAAATTCAGGTTTTCAAAGTCAAATGGGCAGGTTTGTTGAAATTAACCAGTAATTGACATCTCTGCTGCTCATCTAGTAGCAGGGAAGGGTCTCTGTTGCTCTTTCTGTGTTTTCAATACTAACATGTGGCTCTTTGTCTGCAGTCCAAAGGGTCACGGGTTGTCGGCACTCCAGCCCGGGCTCTGTCGCTATGGAACCAAACTGGCCTGCTGCTACGGCTGGAGAAGGGGCAGCAAGGGAGTCTGTGAAGGTAACTTTGTAAAAACTCAGGCCACCATGTGCTCAAGCAGTAGCTCAGGATCTTTAGGTTTTTATTACTATTTCTTTTTATTTTTTAATTGATTTCAGAGAGGAAAGGAGAAGGAGAGGGAGATAGAAACATCCATGATGAGAGAGCATCATTGATCGGCTGCCTCCTGCACGTCCCACACTGGGGATAGAGCCTGAAACCCAGGCATGTGCCCTGACCGGGAATCAAACCGTGACCTCCTAGTTCATAGGTCGACTCTCAACCACTGAGCCACGCCGGCCGGGCTTTAGGTTTTTATCTGTGACACCATGAGCTGTGGGGTCCCCAGCAAAGGGACATGGATAGCTACCAACACCCAAGCTCTTAGGTTCCTGTGAGACCTCTTCCCACCCAAAATGTGGCTGACACCATCAACCTAGGCGTGGTTTGTTAGGAGACCTGCCTTGTCACTTATTTCTGTTGCTATCTTAGTGAGCATGCCCGGTGGCTTGTTATTGTTTTAATCAGGAGAAACTGAATTGGACAAAAATAGGTCAAGAAGTACCTCCTTCCAATTCTAATTTTTTACAATTGATTTCTAATGATATACACTTTTAAATTATGAATCACACAACCAGTAGACTTCAGTCACAAACATGAAAGTAAGCCATTTACTTTATAATTTTGTTACATTTTTTTAAAATTTCTTTATTGATTAAGGTATTACATATGTGTCCTTATCCCCCTCCATCAAAAATAGACCACATATTGGGTCACAAGCAAAGTTTCCCCAAATTCAAGAAGATTGAAATCATATCAAGCATCTTCTCAGACCACAATAGCATAATATTAGAAATAAACTACAATAAAAACAATCCAAAAAATTCAAACACCTGGAAGCTGAATAGCATGCTATTAAACTAATGTTACTCACATTTTGAAAGTCCATGGTGCCAATTTCTAGATGGTTTCAAGGTATACATGTGTATATGCAAAGATGTTAAGTATTTTTGGATTCTCTGTACAACTTTCATACCAAGGAACCATAATTTGCCTTGGTCATTGTTTCTCAGGCCATGCGTTAGGAAAAGGCCTCTAATCATTTCAAGAGGGTTGGGGCGGACAGGGATTTATGTAGAGTTTTGTGGTGTTTGTTTTTAATATGACTTTCTTTTTCGCATTAATCCTCACCAGAGGATACTTTTTCCCCATTGATTCTAGAGAGAGTGAAAGGGAGGGAGGGGGGAGAGAGACAGAGAGAAACATCAATGTGAGACACATTGATTGGTTGCCTCCTGCACATGCCCTGACACAAGCCGGGATGAGGCCTGCAACCCAGGTACGAGCCCTTGACCAGGAATTGAACCCGGACCCTTCAGTCCGCAGACCAATGCTGTAACCACCGAGCCAAACCGGCCAGGGCTATATGACTTTCTATCATAATGAACACTCTCAGTGTGAGGAATCAAATCTGCGTTCATTCCTCCCAGCTAACTGAGCTGGGGTGTACTACTTCGTGGCAGGAGTCTGCTTTCACTGTTCCTGTGTCCCTAGGTGGCATATGCCTGAACCTCAGTGTTTTATCTGTTAAATGTTAAAAAAGCAAGTAAGTGCAGAGGGCTCAAGAAAAATGCTCACTATGAGCATTTGGCAAGCTGAAGAGGTTGTCAGCACCCCCACGGGCCCAGTCCAATGTTCAGGTTAATACCATTGCCATGATTTTTATATCTAAGATCTGTATTTTAGCCCGGCTGGTGTGGCTCAGTGGTTGAGCATCAACCTATAAACCAGGAGGTCACGGTTCTATCCCCATCAGGGCACATACCTGGGCTGGGAGCTCGTTCCTCAGTGTGGGGCCAATCAATGATTTTTCTCTCATCATTGATGTTTCTATCTCTCTTTCCCTCTCCCTTCCTCTCTGAAATCAATAAAAGCTTATTTAAATAAAATAAAATAAAATCTGTATTGTATTTTATCCAATTTGCATGGTCCTTCTTGATAGTAAAGTCATATGCTTCTTGAAGCACCAAATAACAGGGTGGTTAGTCTCTGATTGCCAGGTCTCCGATTTCTAAGCCAGAGTGTGGTCTTTGTGGTAATGGGACAAGAACACAGAGTTAGACCCCAGCCTGTGAGGTCCCAGTCTACCTTAGCCTTCACCTCCTTCCTTCTCTTCACTCTTCATTCCGTTCAAGGCCCTGCCTCAGTGCCCGAGCTTTTTAGATCTTGACCGCTGCCCTGCCTAAATCTGCTCCCTGGGCAGGGTCTGCTTAACTCCATATCATTAACCAAATGTATATGTCACTTAGCCAGATGTTGAAGTCATTAATGAAAAGCTACAGATAGCGGAGTTTCAGGAACAATTGAACAAGAGAGCTTTACTTTCTCTAAAGCCCACTAGAATCTCAGACCATCTACACTAATAAAAGAGAAAGATGCAAATTGACCATACCTTCGCGACACCCACCAGCCAATCAGGAGTGAGTATGCAAATTAACCCAACAAAAATGGGTTAATTTGCATGCGCAGGCGCCGAGCAGCCGAGGGCGGGGCAGGACGCTTGCGTCATCGTGGCGATGATACAGGCGTTCCACACCGCCCCAGCCGCTCAGGGCCTCTGGGCAGCGTGGGAAGGCAGAAAGGCGGCTCCGGCCAGATGGAAGGCGGTGCAGGCAGCCAGGGGAAGGAAGGCCCATTCTTGTACGAATCTTCGTGCATCGGGCCTCTAGTTTTAGACAAACTGAATGTTGCTGTGGATTGGCTATTCAAATCACAGATCCAAAGTTACTGTAAATGGAAATATCTTTTGGGAGCTTTGACCTTATGGCAGCAAGAGTCTTATTCACCATTGCTAGTTCCCAAGAAAACACTTTGCAGTGTGTTAAAGGAGGAAACGAACCAGAGATAAAGCAGATCATCCTCTAAATGTCCCCGCGGATTTCTCTGCCATAGACAAGGTGGCTGAGTTTGACATGCGTACATTTCACTGTGCTAACTACTCCTATTCTTTTATCATTAAAACACCTTTTTCTTTCCACAGCTACATGTGAACCTGGCTGCAAGTTCGGTGAGTGTGTGGGACCAAACAAATGTAGATGCTTCCCAGGATACACCGGGAAAACCTGCAGTCAAGGTCAGTGGAACAGACCAGGGTCCAAGTCCAAACCTACCCCAGATCTTTCAAAAGCATTCTCATCATTGCAGTGGGATTTGTGACATGATATAGTGCTCAGGATTTAACTCCAATCTTCAAATGAAAGTGGCCTCAGGCCCTAGCCAGTTTGGCTCAGTGGATAGAGCCTTGGCCTGCGGACTGAAGGGTCCCAGGTTCGATTCCGGTCAAGGGCATGTACCTTGGTTGCGGGCACATCCCCAGTAGAAGGTATGCAGGAGGCAGCTGATCGATGTTTCTCTCTCTCCGATGTTTCCACCTATCCCTCTCCCTTCTTCTCTCTCTCAAAATCAACAAAAAACATTTTTTTAAAAGACTCATGCTCTCATAAGTAAGAATTCATCTGTATCCGTTACTAGGGTCTTCACACCGGGAAGCCGCACTTCCCAGATGTCTTGGATTCCGTACCAAGATGCGTTCTAAGAGATTTGGAACAGAGAAGCTATTTTTCATGCTGGTTTTCAAGTCCTAGTAAATATTCAGATTGAAGGAGCTGTCCAGTTGGCTCAGGTTCGAGACGGCCTGTCTTCCCCCGCAGCCTCCCTGTGCCGGGACAGCCTGATCAAAGTCTATATGTGAATATCCATGAATGGCAACATGCCCCAGCCCTCCACTGATGTGTTTCCCAAAAATGCTTCTTCCAAGAGACTCTGGGTACATCACCTCTGTGTTAGGGCCAAGTGATGGGTGTTCCTGGATTTGCCATTAAGTCCAATCAGCATTCTCCGACTCCCCCTTTTGAAGCAGTTAGGGTTCATGCAGGAGATGGTAGGGTGCAGGGGACAGGCAATGGACAAGGGCCTTTAAAATGTCCAACTAGGGCATCAGAAAATCCCAATGTGTCTTAGCTGGTTTCGCTCAGTGGCTAGAGCGTCAGCCTGTGGACTGAAGGGTCCCAGGTTCGATTCCAGTCAAGGGCACATGCCCTGGTTGCAGGCTCGATCCTCAGTAGGGGGCATGCAGGAGGCAGCCAATCAATGATTCTCTGTCATCATTGATGTTTCTATCTCCCTCTCCCTTCCTCTCTGAAATAAAAAAAGGAAAATCCCCATGTAAGGTTCTTTTCAGAGGCGAAGGCATCTTCTTATTTTCCACAATGCAGTTTGCCGACTGCCATGCGGAATGTTTGTCCTACAAGGAATGTGGTCATTTTCATCTTCCTTGAAGGGGTTAAGCCACGAGGCACCCACGTGACAGCATTTCTAAACACAATCTCCTCTGCCCAGGATCACTTTCAAGCTTTGTTTTCCTTCTGTATCACTTTTCTTGTAGTAAAGTTATTCATTCTTTTTAAAATATTTTTTTATTAATTTCAGAGAGGAAGGGAGAGGGAGAGAGATAGAAACATCAATGATGAGAGAGAATCACGGATCAGCTGCCTCCTGCACGCCCCGCACTGGGGAATCGAGCTCACAACCCGGGACGTGCCTTTGACCGGGAATCGAACCGTGACTTCCTGGTTCATTGGTCCACACTCAACCACTGAGCCATACCAGCTGGGCAAGTTATTCATTCTTAATGTTCAGAATTCTTTTAGTAAACACTGAAAAGCACAGAGAAGAAAGTCACCCTCCGTCTCACCATCTGGAGATAACCATCATTAGCATTTGAGCACAGCCTCCAGGCCTTTTTTTCTATGCATTTTTTTAAACATATTGTATTGATTTTTTTTACAGAGAGGAAGGGGGAAGGATAGTTAGAAACATCGATGAGAGAGAAACATCGATCAGCTGCCTCCTGCACACCTCCAACTGGGGATGTGCCCGCAACCAAGGTACATGCCCTTGACCGGAATCGAACCCGGGACCCTTCAGTCCACAGGCCGACACTCTATCCACTGAGCCAAACCAGTTAGGGCTCTATGCATTTTTATTTTATATATTTGTTTGTTAATCCTCACCTGAGGATATTTTTCCATTTATTTTTAGAGAGAGTGGGAGGGAGAGGGAGAGACAGAGAGAGAAACATCGATGTGAGAGAGACACATCAATTGGTTGCCCCCCGCAGGCGCCCCAGCCAGGGCTTGGGATCGAGCCTGCAACTGAGGTACATGCCCTTGACTGGAATTGAACCCAGGTCCCTTCAGTCCACCAGCTGATGTTCTATCCACTGAGCCAAACCGGCTAGGGTTTATATTATATTTCTTACAAGTTTGGCATTGATCTTTATAGGTGGTTTCACAATCTTCTGTGCTCATTGAACAACATTCACTGAACATCTTTGCATTACCCAGTTCCACATCTGGATGTTTCCGGATTCAGGGAACCTTTCTCGTGTTCTAACCACCCCCTGCAGATGTGAATGAGTGTGGAGAGAAACCCCGGCCATGCCAACACAGATGTGTGAACACACACGGAAGCTACAAGTGCTTTTGCCTCAGTGGCCACATGCTCATGCCGGATGCCACATGTGCCAGTAAGTGTCAACAGCCAGGCTGCTGTCTGTCAACCTTTGAGGCTTAACTTTTGCCATTTGATGCTTGGAGGAAAGTTGACTTGAGTGATTTAAAAGCAAACAAACAAACAAAATCACCAAAAAATCTCTAACATCACCCCAGGCTAAAACATCTTTGAGTAATTTTTTTTAAAATTGTGGTAAAATATATATAACATAGAATGCACCATTTAAACATTTTTAAATGTACGATTTAGTGGCATTTTACACATTCACAATGTTGTATAACTATCACCACCAATTCCAGAACATCTTCACCCCAAAATGGAAACCATCCTTAAGAGTCACCCCCATTCCTCGGACGACAACACATCTGCTTTCTGTCTCTATGGATGTGGCTATTAAATAAAAAGAGTAGCTGAGGAACAAAATAAATTCTGTATCTCTATATATGCAGGGATGTATTGGGTTTCTTCACGAAAATAAACATGTTGGCTAGAATAAGCATATTGTTTCAGGAAGGTGATAAATTTAAATTCCATCTTGGGATATCAATCCCACCAGCTACCTTTCTCACGCCCTTTGCCCCAGGCTCAAAGATTAGTGACTCTTGTTGCAAATACACTCTGATTCACATTCCTGGAAAGAAAAGCCCTTCTGTGATAAAGAGAAACCCACGTCCTGTGGGAGGGTGAGAGTCTATATCCATTCATTTACTGAGAAGGAAAGCTTTTCAGGTTTGATGTTGCAGCTAAAAGGTAAACCCATCCTCCTTGCCTGCCTCCCGTCCTCCCTCCCCTCTTTCCATCTCTCTTTCTACTGTCCTGCAGCCCCCAACAAGCCTGGGGCCTGTGCCTTCTGCCAGCTTCCTGTGGTGGCAGAGTCTGGGGACTCCCCAGCTTGTTGTAAAATCTTGGCTAATGCACGGCTCACTGCTCCCCTGGCTTACCCTTGGGCTGTCCCCTCTTGGCAAACTGCCCCAACACCACCACTCATCTAGATTCTTCCTTAGCCAGCAAGCTAAAGAGATAGAGCAGGCATTCAAGAGGCTTTTTAAAAAAATCCTTACTGTTATAAATTAAACAGAAACCCACCAGAGACAAATACCTAGCTTAATGACTTCTTATATGGTGAGCACCCATGTAACCACCTCC